TTCCGATAGCTGAGGTGTAAGGGACCTTAGTCATACTCTCTTTTTCTTCTTCTGACTGAGGAGACTGATCCTTCGATAGGTGAAAATGGCTGGCTAAGGGTGTGCTCATTGGCTTGGCGTCGTCCATGTTGAATCTCTGCAAAACACGATTGATGTACTCTATCTGAGATAACTGCAAGAGACCCCTCTTCTTATCTCTCGTGATTTGCATTCCAAGAATCTTCTTCGATGGACCCAAGTCCTTCATGTCAAACTCCTTTGACAGCTGCTGCTTTAAACTCCTGATATCCTTCATATCTGCACCTGCAACCAACATATTATCAACATACAACAGTAGGATGATATAACAAGACTGATATCTTTTGAAGTAGTAACAGTGATCGGCGTTGCACTTCTAGAAACCTTCCTTGTGCATGAAGCCGTCAAACTTCATATACCACTGTCTTGGGACTTGTTTCAGGTCATACAAGCTTTTCTTGAGTCTGCACACCAGGTTCTTCTTCTTTTCTTCTGAGAAACCTTCTGGCTGATGCATGTATATCTCTTCTTCTAGATCTCCATGAAGAAACAATGTCTTCACGTCCAACTGCTCGAGATGAAGATCTTCAATTGCTACAATACTTATCACTGTCCTGATAGTATTTAGCTTCACCATGGGAGTAAAAATATCAGTATAGTCAATTCCTTCCTTCTGCTAGAATCCTTTGACAACTAGCCGAGCTTTATATCTTCTGGAGCCGTTCTGCTCTTCTTTCACCCGGTACACCCATTTGTTGTGGAGTACCTTCTTACCTGTGGGCAACTCAGCTAGTTCTCACATCTGGTTTGAGATGAGAGACTTCATCTCATCTTTCATGGTAAGCTCCCACTTACTCGTATCTCCATCCTGACAAGCTTCATCATAGCTTTCAGGCTTCCCTCCATCTGTCAGCAACAGATAGTTCATGTATCTTATGTTGGGCACAGGAGGTCGTGAAGATCTTCTCAATATCGGAGCTGGTGCGTCGGGCTCCTGCGTACCGTTCTGTCCAACAGGCTCTTCTGGATGAGGACCTTCTGCATTGGGTTCTTTCAAGAAGTTACTCGGGACATCATCTGCATCTATAAATATTAACTCGCTCTCTGAGTCATCTGTCTTATGCATGTCCTTGTACATCACCTTCTCGTTAAATATCACATCTCTGCTGCGGATCATTTTCTTATTTTCGTTGTCCCAAATACGGTAGCCGAACTCATCTTCACCATAGCTGATGAAAGTGCATGTGTTTGACTTGGGATCAAGCTTATTCCTACCTTGATCACTAATATGCACATAAACTACACAACCGAAAACTTTGAGATATAAGAATTTTACCTCCTTTCTGCACCATACCTCATTTGGTATTCTGTGCTCCAACGGAACCGATGGACCTCGGTTGATCAAGTAAGCTACTGTGTTGATTTCTTCTGCCCAGAACTACTTCGGTAGGCCTGACTATACCCGAATGCTTCTGGCTCTCTCTGTCAACGTTCGGTTCATCCGCTCAGCTACACCATTTTGTTGAGGCGTGCCGGACACGGCTCTTTCCATTCTGATCCCGTGCTCATAGCAGAACTTCTTGAATCCGGTGTCTTCATACTCACCGCCATTGTCGGTCCTAAGCTTCTTTATTCTCAGACCGGTTTTATTCTCGGTCATAGCTTTCCATCTCCTAAAAGTTTCAAATACTTCCGACTTGTACTTCAGAAAGTAGACTCATACTTTCTAAGAGTGATCATCAATAAAAGTCACAAAGTAGTATTTTCCACCAATAGACGCGGTGGTGGTTGGTCCCCAAACATCTGAGTGAACGAGCTTTAGGTTCTTCTTCCTGGGGTTCTGCCACTTGTCTGAAAGCTGACTCTCTTCTGCTTTCTAATATACATTCTTCACACATGTCCATCTCCACTGACTGTAGTCCTGGGAGTTTTTCCTTTGTGTGCATGATTTTCATCATATTCTCACTCATATGACCGAATCTCTGGTGTCATAGTTTTGAAGTCTCATTATCTGCTGCAACTGAGATCAAACAACATGTACTTGCTGTCATATACAGGGTACCAGTCTTTTTGTCTTGGGTAATCGTCATTGTGCCCTTTAAGATCTTCCAATCTTCTCCATGGAAGGTCGAGGTGTATCCTTCGTCAGCCAACTGGCCTACGAATATTAAGTTCTTTCTCAGGTCGGGAATATGTCTGACATCCTTCAGCTCCCATACTGACCCGTTCAACTTAATTTTTACCACACATTTGCCTACAATAGTACACAGTTGATCATCACCAAGGTATATGTATCCAAGATTTTCGGGAACATACTTCTCGAAAAATTCTTTCTGAGAAGTGGTATGAAACGACGCTCCTGAATCTAACACCCAAGATTCCTCCTTGCTCTTCAAAGAGCATATCAATGCGTCGTCTCCTCCTGAAGTGGAAGTGATATTCACCTCTATCTTTGCCTCCTTCTCCTTCTGTGCACTCTTGCACTGAGTCTTGTAATGCCCTGTTTTTCCATAATTCGAACACTCGATAGCCTTCGATCTGTTATTTGGATTCCTTGACTTGGATCTCCTGTCCTTTGATCTACCTCTGTAGTTTGTTTTGCCTCGCCCATTCTCTCTGGTTGAATTTCTATCTCTTGACTCTGTATGCAATACTGAAAAAGTTGTAGCTTCACCCGACTCTCACCGTCGGATCTCCTCACTGAGAACCAAATCACGAACTTTATCAAACTTCAACTTGTTGCTTCCCGACGAGCTACTCACAGCTGTGACTATAGCGTTCCAACTCTCTATAGGGAGGACAAAAGTATTAACGCCCGAACTTCCTCATCAAACCCAATTTTAACTGAACTCAATTGGGTTGTGACCATGTTGAGTTCATTGAAGTGTTGTGCTACTGACGCGCCTTCCGTTATTCTCAGATTGAATAACCGCCGCATCAAATAAACTTTGTTCGTGACTGATGGCTTCTCATACATATTTGAGAGTGCTGCCATAAGACCAGCCGCGGTCTTCTCCTTCGCTATGTTGAACGCAATATTACGGGTCAACGTCAATCTGATAACACCGATGGCTTGTCTGTCTAGAAGGATCCACTCATCCTCCTTCATCGACTCCGGCTTCTTCCCCGATAGCGGTTGATACAGATTTTTCTGATGCAAATAATCCTCTATCTGTATTTTCCAGAATCTAAAATCTGTTTCATCAAACTTTTCAAGTCTTATTTTTTCTTCATCTGCGACCATGGCTCCCACTTGAATCTGACTTCCTCTAGATCGTTTCACGCTCTGATACTAGTTGTTGGGGAATTTCACCTAAACCCCTAAGACAGCAAAAACATAGTATAGAGAAAACACACCAAGATTTAATAAGGTTCGGCAACTGCCTACGTCCTTGGGAGCCACATTTTCTTCATCTGCGACCATGGCTCCCACTTGAATCTGACTTCCTCTAGATCGTTTCACGCTCTGATACTAGTTGTTGGGGAATTTCACCTAAACCCCTAAGACAGCAAAAACATAGTATAGAGAAAACACACCAAGATTTAATAAGGTTCGGCAACTGCCTACGTCCTTGGGAGCCACACAGTAAATTTCTTATTAATCAATAAGAAATTATAAAACAAGAGTCGATATCAAACTGAGATCTCTCAATAAATACAAAGGCTAACACTATAGGTACAGTGTATCCCTCTTAAATACCCTTTTTTAATTTCCCTCCCCCTCTTTAATTTCCTTCTTAAAGTCTCCCCTCAAATCCTTCAATTGAGAGCTGGAGAGAAAAAAGAAATGGAATAGAGAGAGAAAGAGAGATCCGCCGCCAAGGGGGGTTTTCTTGAGATTGCGAGAGAGGAAGCATAGGGGCTAGGGCACAGGGTTTCCCTTTTATAGGGAAACCCTAGGACAGTTGGTGACAGGCTGTCGTTGTCTGTCAACGATCTCGCTTGCGAGGAGCTCGAGCTCGCCTGTCTCTTATCGAGCTCGCCTACAAGAAGTTCTCCGATCTCGCCTGCAACTCGTCGCGAGCCCGCTTGGAGTTCGCCAACTCGACCTCGCCTGCTCGAGCTCGTCCAACTTCGCCTGAAGCTTCTCACCGTCAAATCTCGCCTATTGGTTTCCTCGAGCTCGCCTGAAGGTCGTGAGCTCGCCTGCAGCTGCGGACTTCGCCTGCAAGGTTTGGTCGACACTCCAATTCCAACACAATCTTGAACCACTTATTAATCCCTCAAAATTTAATAAAGGATCTGCCATTTAAAAACCAAACTTCACATTTGACTTCACGATGAAGATTTTAAGCACATATTAATCTGTGTAATATAATAAAAAGAAAGAATGAGAAGATTCCAAATACAATTATAAGTTATAAGAATTTTCGGGATCAGAATTTTATGGTATGAAAATCTTAAATTTTCATATTGTTGTACTTTGTTAAACTATTCTTCACTGCATATCATGTTGAAAGTTGAAACATTATAAAATAAGTATATAGTATATTAGTGAAGCTTATAATTTCACCAATGCAGATTTTAAACACATAATCTGTGGAGTGTATTACAAATAATCAGAACATTCCAAAACGTGTTATGACATACAATTTTTCAGGGTGCTTTTGTTAAACTACTACTCTAATAACTCATACTCAATTTCCTATTATTTTTCTCCTTTAACAACTTATAAGGGCTCTTCTAGTGCTAATACAATCTACAAATTTGTAGATTTAACAATTTGACTATATTTATAATTGAACACATGTCACATTTTCTTCTACATATCATCTCTCCATATTTAATCAAAGATAATATAATAAATTCTATAAATTTTTTATCCTACATCTGCGTGAATACTATCGTCATCTTCTTCTTGGCATCAATCAAAATGATGGAATCGATCGCCTTACTTACTGAAGTGAATCCATTTTTCTTAGGTTGACAAATAATAATGAATATAGAAAGAAAATGCTCAATAAGAATCGGGAAAAACGTACGAGGAAAATAGAAGCAGCTTCAGAAAGCAGCAGCTCATTGTCCTTCGAAAGTTGACCAGTTAGCAATTTCCAATTTATATCAACATTAGCTTCCTTGCTTAAACCCTTTTGCTCCAATTTCCTCTTAATCGCATTTAAATCTTGCTGCGAAACTGGCTGTTCTCCCTTAAGGATTAACTCTTGCAATGCAAAAAAGATCGCATCGCATTCTTTGCAGCAGAACCATTCAGCTTCTGGCAATTCCTATTTCCAGAAAGCGGCATGTTCAGGGATTCCCATAACAGAAAAGAAAAGAATAGAAACAGGTTGCACGACAGAAAATGGAAAAAAAATGAAATAATACTGATTTGAGCACCTTTAAATCAACCCCATTATGAGCCTTCAAGCACCCAACATGATACTCCTTCTCACACTGAACAGATTAAATGAATTAGTGACCGCTTCTATGAATACTATGTCATATTCATATGTAAATTATAGTTGAGGGAACTATTCATAACTACAGCATGAAGCTAGGGTATCATACTTGATCACAAACTATAACAGTGCGAGGACCAAACTCTGAGGTGAAGTCTTGCTCTCTGCATTGGCATCATCACAACAGAAATATATGTAGTATAATTAAACAAAAAGATAATAATAAAATGGAAGTCGTAGAAATATTGAGGAATGGCCAAAGCATCAAAGCCAACATTGTGTTGACAATAACAAAAATTATTATGTTGAATTGGCTCAGAAAAGAAATCTAACCTGCAAATTACACAACCTCCACTGTCGATCTCTTGTCTCTTGACAATGCGAAGTTTGCATCTCTGAAGTATCTGTTCTACAGGATCAACTCCTGCAACTCTTCCACAAGAAAGCGCATTTTTATTATGTGCCACATATTTTTCTTTCTCATGCATGTTTCGACAACGTTGACAGGACCATTCCCCTCGTGGGGCTCTTGACAATCCCAGACATTCTGCAATCAAATGTCAAGAACTGTAAATTTTTTCTCCTTTTCTGAAAGGAAAGAAACGGAAGATTTCTTTCTGCAAATAATAAAATAATAACAAGAAATTATAACAATAATAGTAAAAATAGTACAAAGACTACCACAATCTGCTTGTTTTATATAGGAAATTATCATGTGTTGAGTTGAGCGGAGTGGTGGATACTAAAAAATATATTGTTATTTTTTTTTTAGTGGTACAAACACACTATACTCTCAATTACAAATACTCTTTTTCTCTCTCTCTCTTTCTATCTTTCTCTCTCTCCCCCTCTGCTATTGGGATGGATCTAACACAAATACTTGGGGGGTTATTTATAACATTGGTTTAGGGTAGGTAAACACTATTAGAGTTAGGTGATTACTGTAGCTAGGTAGGTGGGGGGATTAGGTAGGGGAAGAAGCTGCTGACTTCAACACTCCCCCTCAGTAGCGACTTCTCTATCCATGAGTCCAAACTGACTTCGAAATTCTGTAAACTTTGAAGTACTTAGTGCTTTGGTGAATATGTCAGCTATTTGTTCGTTTGTCCCGATTGACTTTATTACGATCTCCTCCTAAAAAAACTTTCTCTCGAAAAAAGTGATGATGTACTTCAATTTGTTTCGTCCTAGCATGAAAAACTGGATTATCTGCCAATCGTATTGCAGACTTATTATCGTAATGTAAAGCTAATGAATTGTCTGTAGGCTGATATAGATCTCTCATTAACTAAAAAAGTCACGTGTTTTCCTGAGCTGCCATCGCTGTTGATCTGTACTCCACCTCTGTAGTTGACAGTGACACTATTGATCGTCTTTTGCTACATCAAGATATAGTCGCTAAACCGAGACTAAACATGTATCCGGTAGTAGACCTTCGAGTGTCATGATCTTCAGCATAGTCAGCATTATAATAGCCATAGACCTCACATTCTTCTCCTTTCTTATACATGAGATCATAGTTAATTGTACCCTTGATGTACCTTAGGATCCTTTGGATTGCTTCTAAGTGAGGTTTCTTTGGTTTCTGCATGTATCGGCTCATCACACTAACCGCAAATAAAATATCTGGTCTTGTCATCGTTAGATAGATCAAACTTCTAACTAGTTGTCGATACATAGTTGGATCTTCCAAATCTTTTTTCTTCACGTGCACACCGTTTCAGATTTGTCTCCATCGGTGATGAGATTGACTTGCAGTTGAACATCTCGTACTTGAGTAGCATGTCCTTCGTACATTTTTCTTGGTACATGAATAGTTCATCCTTCTTTCGGTCGACCTCCAACCCAAGGAAATGCTTGAGCTCTCCAAGCTCCTTCATTTGAAACCTGACTAAGAGATTTATCATTGTTCTTTGGATTTCCGCGTTATCGTTTCCAGTTAGGATTAAGTCATCTACATAGACCAACACGATTGCTAGCCTATTGCCAGTCTGTTTGATAAATAAACTAGAATCCGTAGAAGCAATTGAGTATCCACTTTGAATTAAAAACTCACCAATCTTGTCATACCAAGCTCTCGGAGCTTGCTTCAGTCCGTAGAGAGCTTTCTTTAGTTTGCAAACATATCTTTCCTCTTCCTTGCTCTCAAATCCGATAGGTTGCTCCATGTAAATCTCTCAATCCATCTCACCGTGTGGAAATACATTCTTCATGTCCATCTGCCAAAGCTTCCAACTCTTGTTGGCTGCTAGAGCTAAAAGAACTCGAACTGTTGTTATCTTGGTAACTGGACTAAATATCTCGTCATAATTTAGTCTATACGGTTGAGAGAATCCTCGAGCCACCAAGTGTGTTTTGTATCTCTCAATTGACCCATCCGATCGAGTCTTAACTTTGTAAGCCCATTTGCAATAGATAGGTTTGACATCTTTGGATTTTGACACCAACTCCCAAATTTGATTCTGCTGTAGAGCTTGAATTCCTTCCTCCATTGTTTGTCTCCATTCAGCAATTTCATATGCTTCCTCGATGCTAGATAGCTTCTTCGCATCTTTCATAATGACAGCATTAGCATACTTAGGATTCGACTTTCTGGGTCTCGTTGATCTTTGAAATTGTTCAATCGGTTTTTCTTTGATGTCCTCTATCTAGCTCGGGCGTTGTTCTTCTACCGGTTTCTGATAAACACCGGTTTTTCATGGATTATTCTCCTTTGAGGATGTTGAAGAGCTTGATTTTGTCTTTTCTGGTTGACATAGTCCTTCTTCTTGACCTAGCTCCCCCAGCTTCTGTTGTAACTGATCCTCCAGATCACTAGAGTCTGGGAGTGCAACTTCTTGTGCCACCAAGACGAGGCTTCGTCAAACACAACATTCATTGATGTGTAGCACCATCAAATTATGGTATCATAACATCTCCATCCTTTTCTTTTATTGTCATACCCCACAAATATACATCTTATAACCTTTTTATCGAACTTGCTACGTAAGTGATCAGGTACAAAGACATAACATATACAACCAAAAACTCTAAAATGGCTTACGGTTAGTTTTGTATTCCACAACTTTTGAAATGGTGACATGAACTCTAGTTTTGGTTGTGGTAGCCGATTGATCACATGCGTCATCATCTTCGTACACTCCGCCCAAAAATATCCTGGTATGTTCTTGGCATGAAGCATGTTTCGACATATCTCCACAAGGTGATAATTATTCCTTTCAACTATGTCATTCTACTGTGAAGTATTTGGGCATGTTAGCTGTCGCCGAATCTTGTGCTGCTTCAGGTAATTGTAAAAATCCTTTGATGTGTACTTTCCCCCGTTGTCTGTACGTAGGCAACGAATCTTCTTGCCGAGATCTCCTTTGACTTCTTCTCAGAATTGCTTGAATTTGGAGAGTGTTTCAGACTTTTCCTTCATAAAATCAACCCAGATATACCTCGAGTAATCATCAATGAAAGTGATCATGTATTGCATCCCACCAATTGATTCTTGTTTTACTCGACCAAATACATCTGAGTGTACAAGCTCCAAAGGTTTCTTGGTTCTGAACCATGACTCATAATACGGTAATTGATACAGATTATCGTACTGACAACCTCCGCATACGGTCCCTTCATGAATATCCAATTGTGAAAGACCCTTCAACATTGACTTCTCCATCATGATCTTGAGCTTGTGATAGCTCACATGGCCAAGCCGAGCATGCCATAAATCAGTTGTCTTATTCTTTTTAGCTTTATCTATGTATGTCGATTCTGTCAACATCACATAGATAGATTCTACCTTCTGTTCCTCCATGACAGGTTCTCCTGGTGGCTTTAAGTTTTGATAGACTTTTACATCTTGTGGCCTAAATACTACATAGTTTCTAGAGGCTGTTAATTAGAAAACATATAGGAGATTCTTTTTCATACCCGGTACATGGTATACATCTTGTAGTTGTATCCGATTTGGGTTATAGCACGGCGTAAATGCAGTCTTTCCGATGTGTGTGATAGGTAATCTTGAATTATTCACTGTCATAACTTCTCGGTCGCCTTTATACTCCTTCATGTTGACGAGTTTCCCCTTATCTCCCGTCATATGGTTGGAATAGTCAGAATCAACGATCCAATCTTTATTATAGCTGATTTCTTCTCGATCTAAAACCTCTGCAAATGTGAACTCAGATTCTTCTACAATCGAGGTTAGTGCCATACCAATAACCTTGTTTTCATCGACTGGTACATCTTCAATGATGGCCACTGATGCTTGGGCATCACATTCTTCTTCATCATCTTGACATCTGCGCGACGTTGTAGCATTGCCCTCTGCAGGCCTTCTCTTGTAACGGCAGTCTCTGACAAAGTGACATTTCTTCCCACAAATGTATCAGCTATTGTCAGGTCTCCTTACTCGATGATCACCTTACTCCTCACGTTGTTGTGTTCTATCGGTGTATGGCCGTCCTGGCTGCCTCCTTGAACTAACCTTTCCATACTCCTCTTTCTTCGCGCCTCTTGGTTTCCCTCTCTCTCCTTGCTGCTGAAGAATGCTTCATCTTTGCTTTTTATTAAAACGCCAGCCATTTGTTTGGCTAGGGTTTCCCATGTAGCGAGCAAACTCTCCAACTCTAATAATGTTAGTTGAGTTGGTCACCCATGTGTAGTAGCAACGAGTCTGTGATATTCTTGTCTCAAACCGTGGATGGTTATTCTCCTCATCCTTGCATCGGATACTTTAAAATCTGGATCTAGTTAAGTAATATATGAAAAGAGTGATTTTACTTGCTTGAAGTATTGACTGATTGTCAGATCCTTCTATTACAAGGTCATCAATTAATTCTCCAGGAGTTGAAGTCAAGCATCCTTCTTTTTTGGGAAGAGTTTTGCGAGCGTATCTCATTCCTCCTTCGGAGTTCTAGCATCTCGCATATAGTCTACAAGATATTCTTCTACTGTCATCTTCACCACATACATAGCCTTGTCGGCTTTGATATTCCACTTTCTTAGTGCTTCGCCAGCTTCCCGAGGTGCTGTAGTTTCAGCAACCCTGATGACCTTCCAGAGGTCTTATCCTTGAAAATAGGACTTCATACTCGTCTTCCAATAGTTATAGTTATTATCATTGAGTTTTTTGAGTGTAGTAGTCGTATTTTCCAAATACGCCATCGTAACGTGGCATACTCCTGTACAGTCCGCTCTCCCTATACTGTGGCGTCGATCTCTCCCTTAATCTGGAACACCCTCAGGTTATTCCCCACTCCATCATAGGTCCTCCTCAACTTTTCCCAGACGTTCTTCACCTTCTCAATGCCATCAACAGCATTTGGGACACTCATCCTTTAGTGTTTTAGGTAGATTGTATCCTTCTTTATTTGAGAAAGCAAATAAACAGAAACTTGTGTGTGATGCATGTGAGTTTGGAAAGCTTACTAGAAGCTCTTATGTTAGTTCTGGTCATAGAAGTTCTCATGCATTTGACTTGGTACATTCAGATGTTTGGGGGCCTTATTCCACAAGTTCTATGAACGGATACAAGTATTTTGTTACATTTATTGATTGTTTCTCTCGTGTTACTTGGTTATACATGATGAAGAATAAGAGTGAAGTGTTTGGGTGCTTCCAAAACTTTCATAGGAATGTTCAGACTCAATACGGAGCAGTGGTGAAGGTATTGAGGTCGGATAATGGGACAGAGTATACCAACAGAGCGTTTGAAGAATATTTGTCAGCTCAGGGAATACATCACCAGACAACCTGTCCATACACACCAGCTCAGAATGGAGTAGCGGAAAGGAAGAACAGACATCTTTTAGAGGTTGCTAGAAGCATGATGATCTCTATGAATGTCCCAGAAACATTATGGGGGCAAGCAGTATTGATCGCAGCAGCGCTGATCAACAGAATGCCCTTGAGAGTACTAGATTGGAAGTCTCCGTGTGAGATATTGAAGGGAGATAATGGTGGGATTCTTCCACTCAAAGTGTTTGGCTGTGTGTGCTTTGTGAAGGACAACAGGCCATCCGTCGGGAAGCTTGCCCCTAGAGCTGTGAAGTGCGTCTTTGTGGGATATTCTGCTACTCAGAAGGGATATGTTTGCTAGAGCCCGGTGGAGAAAAGGTTGTTTGTGAGCATGGATGTGCACTTTCGAGAACTCGAGCTATATTACACCCGGAAGGTAACTTCATCCATTGGTAACTCGCCCAATACTAAAAGTATGAGGCGAGAGGAGGAGAATGGTGAGAGATTGGTGAACAATGTGGAGAAATCAATTTCTGTATCGATTCCTTAGGAGGAAGAATTGGTTGAGGAGGAGCAGGAGAATGAAGAAAAAAAATGAGACAAGAGGTGTTAGGCCCACGGTTCAGGGGGAGCTACTAACCTATAGTAGGAAGGGAAAGCAAATTACAGGAACAGTACCTACAGTGCCACTAGTACTGCCCAGTCTCTTGCTAATGCCTGCCCCGACTCCTGAGACACCGACACCACCACCAGATTCATCCCAATGTGATAACATTCCTCTCCCTACTCCTCCCACACCAATATCAGTACGGAGGACTACTCGTAGTAATGCGGGAAATCCTCCCGATAAATATGGATGAGATCTTGCCCAGTTTTTATCATATTCTAACATTCATCCTGCACATGGAGCATTCATTGCATCATTGGACTCTGTTATTGTACCTAACAATTGGCAGGATGCTAAGAAAGACCCAAAGTGGAAAACGGCGATGCACGAAGAGCTAGGGGCCCTTGAGAAGAACCGCACTTGGGAGTTAGTAAAACTACCAAAAGGGAAGAGAGCAGTTGGATGCAAGTGGGTCTTCACTGTGAAGCAAAATCCAGACGGACAGGTTGAGCGTTACAAAGCTCGTTTGGTGGCAAAAAGATATAGTCAGACATATGGGATCGACTATGATGAGATTTTTGCACCGGTGGCAAAGATGAGCAATGTTCGGACCTTGATCTCTCTGACAGTAAATGATGGATGGAAGCTACACCAATTAGATGTAAAGAATGCATTTCTTCATGGAGATCTGGTGGAAGAGGTATACATGGAAATTCCACCAGGATTCAACACAGATCAGACAGTGGGCAAGATCTGTAGATTAAAGAAGTCTCTCTATGGGCTGAAGCAGTCTCCCCGTGCTTGGTTCGACAGATTCTGGAGAGCTATGTTAGGTATGGGATACTAGCAGATTAACGTCGATCATATCGTGTTCTTTCGACGAAATGAAGGTCAAATCACCATGCAGATTAAAGAAGTCTCTCTATGGGCTGAAGCAGTCTCCTCGTGCTTGGTTCGACAGATTCAGGAGAGCTATGCTAGGTATAGGATACCAGCAGATTAACGCCGATCATATCGTGTTCTTTCGACGAAATAAAGGTCACATCACCATGCTTGCGGTATATATGGATGATATGATTATTACAGGGGATGATGAGAAGGAGATTGCCCAACTTAAAGTGAGACTGGGTAAGGAATTCGAGGTGAAAGATCTTGGATTGCTTCGATACTTTCTTGGAATAGAGATAGCTCGAGGAGCGGAGGGGATTATCCTATCGCAGAGAAAGTATGCACTGGATCTTCTCAAAGAGACGGATGTTAGGGTGTAAACCTGCAACTACACCGATCGACCAGAAATTCAAGCTGGGTGCTGAAGCTGGAGAACCAGTTGATCGTGACAGATACCAAAGACTAGTGGGCAGGTTGATCTATCTGAGTCACACACGTCCCGATATCTCTTTTGCAGTGAGCGTGGTGAGCCGCTACATGCATGATCCAAGGAAGGGTCATATGGATGCTGTGTACCAGATTCTGAGATATCTGAAGAGTGCCCCTGGAAAGGGACTGATATTCAGGAAAAATGGACATGTGAGCATCGAGGGTTATTGTGACTCTGATTGGGCTAGCTGTGCTAATGACAGGAGGTCCAGTCTCGTGGAAGAGCAAGAAACAGTCTGTGGTGGCGAGATCGACAGCTGAGGCAGAGTATAGAGCTATGACCTTAGGAGTTGCTGAGTTGTTATGGTTGAAGAGCATGCTGGTGGAGCTGAAGCTGGGTCAATGAGCTAAGATAAAGTTGTGGTGTGATAACAAGTCAGCTATCAGTATCGCCAACAACCCAGTGCAGCATGATAGAACCAAACACATCGAGATCGATAAGTTCTTCATTAAAGAGAAGTTGGATAGTAGACTACTGGAGCTAAGTCATGTTTCAACTAAGGACCACGCAGCAGATTGTCTGACTAAGGGACTTAGCTCATTAGATATGATTTGAGGATGTGACAAGATGGGCTTAGTGGATATCTTTCGCCCATCTTGAGGAGGAGTGTTAACATATGAGTAATATGCAGGGACTTATTTGTAAGTTATATTTTGTAGGGGCCTATATAAGCCCAAGAGATTTCATAATAAGAATTAGGGTTTTCTCATATATTTCAACTCTTGTCATAGGAGGGGATTTCCTCATTGACGCCTATGTGGCACAATCCTCACCATCCTCATAAAGTAGGCACAAATTCCTACCATCCTCATAAAGTAGGAGAGAGAGTATGAGTTGGTGGGGATTTGTGCCTACTTTATGAGGATTGTGGGGATTGTGCCACATAGGCGATGAGGAAAATCTTCTCCTATGACAATGATACTCATTAATCTCTCTCTTTCTATATATATATATATTATATTTAATTATATATATATATATTATATTATTATATTATTATATATATACTATATATGCGAGAGGCGAAAGAGAAATTCTTATGTCAACTTAAGTGGACCATCCACCAAACTTTCTATCTATTGATGATACCTAGGGATCCATACAAGATATGAAGAGACTTTTTATATATATATGAGTGGATAGAAAGTTTAGTGAACAAAGACCTCTTGTCCACTTAAGTTGACATAAGTTCACCTCTCTCTCTCTCTCTCTCTCTCTCTCTTTTGATAGTGAGGTGGCATATTCTCCTCCACTCATTAAAATCGGGGCCTACATTCACATGGGATAGAAAGTTTATGTTTTGGTACCAATCATTCCCATGTATATATATATATACAAGTCTCTGGTCATATGGAGGAAATATGAATTAAGCTGTGGTAACCCAACCTCTGCCGAGGTAATGCTTATTCCATTACCCACGTAACCTGTATTCATAGTCTTATATCCATATGCTCATATATTTCATACTATATTTTCTTTCAGTTAGTTCACATAAGTAGGATTATTTTGTACTCTAGACTTTACGTACGTTATTTTTGCTTCCTTTTCTCTTGCGTTCATAAACTTGTATAAGTGTAGATATGAATTAGAGAATTTAATAGCCGGGTGGCTATATAGTGCTTCATCATTTCAATGCTTATGATACTTATGCATACAATATACTCTTTGCTGTGAATATTAACAATGTAAAGGATATTAAGCGATAACAATGTATAAAATAATGGTTATTTTCAAGTTCCTGCTCTGAAATAAGAATTTTGACATCTGGACTCGATGTTAAAATGCAAGTTTTCACCGAAAAAAAATATCCAGTGCATATATCTTCTGAATTCATGCTAAAAAAAGGAGAAAATTTTACAAACTTAAAATTTATGAAAAGCTAAAGAAAAGGGTTGTTAAATTACCTAAGTGGAAAGACCTCGGACAAAGATCACAATACAGCAGGTCTTCGCCTAATCCACAGACATTACACCCGATATCTTTTTTTCTATTTGATAACATCCCTTCTTTGGATAGTTTAAGGGATAGCTCATGCAATGAAAAACCACGACCAGGGAAATAAATGTGATGATAACTGGAAATAAGATCATTAAAATAATAACCCAAAAAAAAAAACAGTAAGTCCGAGATCGATGGTGAAGCACATCAACAAGATGCAAAAACTTTCTAACAATAACTCACGGCTTGCGCCTTTGACTTTCCCCAGCATGGGTCTCAAATTTTGAAGGACTAATCTGCAATAAAGATTAGAACATAATGGAATTAATAAGTTCGGGAAGTCAGGAAATCACCAGAAGACTGAGATGGGAAAAAATGAGGAGGAGAGGAAATACAAATAAATGATATATATACCACTTGTTCACAGCAAGAACAAAAGATTCCAGAATCTCGTAATTTACCCTCAAGCAATTTCTGGAAGTCAGGAAATATGTCTAATTATTGATCGAATACATAAGCTTATAACTTATAAAATTAATTGATACAACTTGATTTCATACCTTCCCATCTACCATGTAGTGCACTGTGTCATCCTTGAATTCCTTCAGCAATTCTTCATTGTTAAACACTGATTTATGGAATCCGATATCCCTTGTAATAAGAAAGAACAGAAAGTAGGAAATTTTAATTCAAGATAGGAAAAAAAAACTGCCTAGCTAATAATAGTTCAAACAAATGAGTCCAGTGTACCAACTTTTTTGTTACTTTTGCAGAAGTAACCTTGTTCGATGATGAACTTTTCTTCGAACTGCTCTTGAAAAAAACCAAATTAAAAGAACCAGGCATGCGTTAATAGTGTGAAAAAATGCATGTGTGAGTATAGGAAAGTTGTATATAAACTTGAGACAAGAATGATTATGAATTTTGTCATATTGCAAGTCAGGAAATAAATATATCAGAATAAGAAGACACTAAGAGGCTTCTGAAATACATTATGGAGAGAACTATGTGCTGCGAATGCTGAATCTAGAATTTAATTTCAGGTTAACCATTTTTCTTCAACATAATGTGCAAACATATTGAGCAAACTCGAAACCAAGAAGGCTACATCCACAAGATTGATCAAGAACTTTTTTGTGAAATCAAGAAACCAACAGTACATAGATGCTGAAAATACAGGTTAATGTTACACATTTTGAAGCGATATCAGAGTTTCAATTATAAGAATATGGCAAATTAAGAATCACGCCACTGTAAAATTAGAACTCCAACTCATGTGAGATATGATTATTGAGTCAAATAAGATTGTTAATAGGAAGCAATATCCTTAATGCAGTGGCCTCTCCAAGTCGTTAATAAATGATAAGCACGACCATCACCAAAGCTCAGATTTGGAACTTTTTATGTTGTAAGGGTTCTATCTGCAACCAATGAAACTACAGAGGCAGTAATTAAGTTAAAAATGATCACACTAAAGGGGTGTACGTGCAATTAAAAATATGAATAAAACTAAGAAATATTCGCAGGGGGCCAAGAGCTAAAGTATTCAAATTACTTTACACGCAAGTTATTGAAGAGATCATACCGAGCACTGCTGTCAAAAACCTTCGGTGTGCTTGGAGGTGAAGCACTCACATCATGAGTTGAAGATCTCGACGAGTTTACAGAATCTACTTCGCCTTCTTCTGATATATGGTGGAATCTCTGTTCATTTTCAAAATGAGTACGTCTTGAAGGATTCTTCTCTAAATATATATGCAGTCAAACAATGGATCACTTGATATTCTTCTCCAAATATATATGCAGTCAAACAATATGGATCACTTGATTTAATCTTTCTAAATGTATACATTACCAACAAATATACAAGGGTAAATTGCAGGTATCACCCTTAGAAGGGATTTGGCACACAAGAAACTTTTAGGGATTAAAAGATCAAGGGACAAATGTGAAGAAGAGTTTGCAGAGAATTAAAACAGTCACATTCCTGACACGACCAAATTGCACTGGAGAAAACGACAAGTGAAAAAATAGTACAAAATAATTTTCGAGACAAAAAAAAGGACAACCCAGAACAACACAAACCCCCAGGAAAAAGAATAACAGAAAATGTCAGGGTCTCGAAAAAAGATGAAACCATACATTTCAATGTTACAAAATAAAAGCTCATGAATAATTTCAAATAATATCTCCGAGATAATATTTCAATTATATTCATGTAACCTTTTAGTCCCACGTCATAATCATGATTTCATGACTTCATCAAAAAGAACTAAGGGGTTGTTCGTTTCGCAAAAAAAAAATAGGAAATCAAAGAATAGGAAACCTATTTTCTAAAAAAATTGAAGTTGTTTGGTTGGCTAAAAATGAAGGAAATCAAAGAATAGGAGATAAGATGAGATGAGTTGCCACCATATTATTGGATAATGTGAGTGATCTTTTAAGAAAACTTGTTTTGTGGTTGTTTGGTTGGCTATAAAATAAGGAAATGAATTATAAGAAACATATTTTCTATAATAGGCTCTTTTTTGTGTTTGGTTCATTCTTAAAAATAAGAAAATAAATGAGATGAGATGAGTTGTCATTATATTATAGGATGATGTGACCCATACTTAAGAAAATCAATTTCCATGTTTTTTTAGGAAATGGATGGAAAGAAAATTTTAATGAGATGAGATGAGTTGTCACAATATTATTGGATGATGTGAGTGATTTTAAAGATGAGATGAGATGAGTTGGATGATGTGACTCATTTCTTGTGTTTGGTTTATTTTTAAAAGTAAAAAAAGAGATGAGATGAGATGAGTTGGAGGATAAAAATAATATTTTATTGGATGTTGGGGGTGAGTTTTAGGGGCTGTTTGGTTGTTGTTGGTAAAGTTGTGTATTTATGACAACTTGGAAAGTTGTTGTCCATCTCATCAATTTCATTTTTATACTTTTCTTTGTTTGTTTTTTATTCCATTGGAATCATAAATTGATTGTTTGGTTTGCAAATGTAACTTTAATTGTTTGTTTGGAAAGTGTAAAAAGTGGTCCCTACTCAAATGATCATATTGGTTGGAATTATTTTTTATTATTTTTTTACTGACTTTAATATCATCTTTCTCCTAAAATCATGTTTTTTTTATAAAATCACTTTACAAGCCACATCAGCATATGAAATCACTTTACACTATTTTCACAACTACAAACAAATAATTAAAAATAATGAAAACTGACATTGGGACCCACTTTTTTACACTTTCCATCCTTTTACATGGTAAAAACATACAACCAAACAGCCCTTGGGAATGAAAATGAATAAAAATAATATTTTATTGATTTCCATGTTCTAATTTTCTTTTCTTGGTTTTTAGGAAACCAACCAAACGGACCCTAACCCAAAAAAAACAAATGGCAAAAGAAACCCATTGAGATGGAGAAAGCTACTACTAAAAATGGTTGAAATAGTTAAAGAATAAATATAGTTATAAAAAATATGGAAGGAAAAAAAACTGCACAAGAATCCTATGGTAAAAAATGCTTAAAAAGTAATTCGAGAGAGAGAAGAAGAGAAAAAAAAAGACAACCCAAAAAACAACAAAATCCCCCAGACTTTCTCATAAAACAGTAAAGAAGCACATAACTTGTTGGCCCCCATTTTAATCATGATTCCGGACATCAGCGTAAAGAGCAAACCAATAATATATATATACAAAATTAATAGAAAAAGCTGCTGAAGAAACCCATTGAGTTCCCTAAAACTATTAAGTAAAAAATAGCTAAAAAGTAATTTGAAGCAAGAAAATAACAATCCAGAAAAGAAATACAACTGACATAAGCCAGACTTACGCATAAAGAGTAGAAAAGCATTAATCAGAAGTACACCCCAAAAAAATAAAAAATAAAAAATAACTTTTCCCTAAATAGATATGAGAGTAGTTTATGCAATACCTTCGAGGGCATTTTTGACATTCGCTTTCTCAACGTCCTCTGCGCTCCCATCTTCTTCCTCTTCCCAACAATCGCCACGTCATCTAAAGCCTTTAAATCAAAACAAAACAAAATTTCAATTCTATTTATTGACCTTTTTAATCTACATTCATTAAACGCATTTTAATCACGCTTCGTTACTCATCAGAAGCAGAAGGGGAAAAAAAAGTAGATCATATACAGAAGAAACCCATTGAGTTGGAGAAAAATTACAAGTAAAAAGTAGTTAAAAAGTAATTTCAATACAATTAAAACCCAGAAAACAACAGAAATAATCAGTTTTTCTGATAAAAAGCCAAAACCTTATAATTAAAATAACAACAACAAAAAAACTTCTTCCGCAGAAAAACAAACATTAACTTAGAATAAAATTTTCAATGCTGATTTTAAACCAAAGAATGCTCAAAACTACATTTTCAATTATATTCATTTAACTTTTTAACCCACATATTTAAGAATCCATTTTAATTATAACTCATGATTCAACGAGAAAGAGCTAATTAAAGGATAAAAAGATTTACATAAGAAATTTAAAAAAATTGCAAAAAAAACCCATTAAGCTGGGGAAAATTAGAAGTAAAAATGGTTAAAAATAGCTAAACAATAATAAATATATATATATATATATAACAGAAAAAACCACCCGTTGAGCTTGAGAAAATTACAAGTAAAAATGGCTAGAAAGTAGCAAAATAATCAAAAAAATATGCAAAAAATGTAATAGCAAAATTGCAGAGAAACCCATTTGGTTTCCAAAAAAGATCAACAACCCAGAAGAAAAAAGAACCAAGAACTTAAAAAAAAAATTATCCATAACAATAACGTAAGTACTGCTAATAAAACTACGCAATACCTTCGAGGGCATTTTCGTCAGTTCCATCTCCAACGTCCTCTTCATCTCCCTCTTCTCAACTGTCACCACGTCGTCCGAAACCCCATTCTCTACCTTCATCTCATCATCACCATCGCCGTCAACAGCGATCGGACCCGACGAACTGGGCCCCACGTGCAGCTGCTGACGTGGCTTAGAGCCAGGGCCCGCCGCAGCAGCTGCGCTCTCGTCCCCTCTAGTCCTCGATCGAGTCCGACCCAGCACGACCCTAAGCTCGGACTGAGCTCTCATGGCGAAAGCGAAGTCCCGCTTGTGGCCGGGTCGGACCCTGGAGCGGGTTACGCCAGAGGGCTCCACATTGGTTTGCGGGTCTCGGCCGGACCCAATGAGGGAGGATTGTTCTGCCATTAGAGGAGGGATTTGGATTTTAGGGTTTTTGCTTGGAGAGGAAGAAAAGAGAGAGTGTTTTTGGAGAGGGAAGAATCGAAGATGATGAAGAGTGAGTAAGAGGAGAGAGGGTGGTGAATAAAGGAGAGTGGAGAAGGGTAGAATGGGAATTTTATAGAGATTTAGAAATGCGTAGGTTGACGGGTTTGCCCTCTGGTCGGTTGAGGGTGTTTTTTGGGGAATGTCTAGAATGCCCTTGGGATGAGGCTAGAGGGAGTGGATGGCATTTATGCCCACCCTATAGTCAAATTGAGAATGCAAATCTCATGGAACAAGATGTATATATGCAATTCAGTTCTAATTAATTTGATTCATAAATAAGTTTGGTAATCTTAATTTAGAAAAGGTTTGAATATGGGTAGAAAATTAAATTTTGTTTTAATCTGGGATAGAATGGAAAATTATAAACCACGATTGAAACGATGGGTCAGCTTAACGTGTATGCTCTTTGGTCGTTAGGGGTTGTTTTGTAAATTGACAAGAATTTTGACTGGTTGAGGATGTTTCTTAGGAAATTTACTAGAATATCCTTGGGATGAGACTAGAGGAGTGACTTATGCTCACCCCTATAGCTATATTGAGAATGCAAATATTATTAGAAGAACATGTATACAATTGGACTCTAGTTAATTTGATTTATAAGAATATGGATAGAAAATTAAAATAAATTTTCAACTGGGGTAGAATGAAAATTTTATAAACTATGATTGAAACGGTGGGTGAGATTGACAGGTATGCTCCAGGGTTTCTTTTTTAAATTGGCAAGAATTTTGGTCGGTTGAGGGTGATTTTTGGGAAATCGACTAAAATATACTTGGGATGAGACAAGGAGTGAGTTATGTTTATCCTTATAGTTAAATTGAGAAACACACATACAATTGGATTCTAGTTAATTTGATTTACAAGTAAGTTAGGTAATCTTGATTTAGAAAAGGTTTGAATATGGATAGAAATTAAAACATGTTTTCAACTAGGGTAGAATGGGAATTTTATAAACTATGTGACTAAAACGGTGGGTAAACTTGACGGTTATGCCCTTTGGTTATTGGCATTCTGTCTTGTAAATTGACAAGAATTTTGGTCTGTTGAGGGCTAAGAAATTGACTGGAATATCCTTGAGATGAGACTAGAGGAGTGAATCACGCAAAGTTAAATTGAGAATGCAAATATGATTAGAACAACATGTGTACAGTTGGATTCTAATTAATTTGATTTATATGTAAGTTTGGTAATCTTGATTTAGAAAAGGTTTAAATATGGATAGAAAATTAAAATATGTTTTCAATTGGGGTAGAATGGGAAACTTATAAATTGCGATTGAAACGGTGGGTGAGCTTGACAGGTATCCTCTTGGATTGTTGGCGTTTTGTCTTGTAAATTGACAAAAAAAATTGGTCGGTGGGGTCCCCTCGCCGCTTTAAGTGGGCGAGGAGAGTGTGAGTTGATTTATGTTGAGGGAGGGATGGGGAGAGAGATAGAGTGTGTGTATGTGTGTGTGTGTGTGTGCACGCGCGTGCGTGAGAGAGAGAGAGAGAGAGAGAGAGAGAGAGAGAGAGCGAGCTTGACAGGTATCCTCTTTGATCGTTGGCGTTTTGTCTTGTAAATTTACAAAAAAATTTGGTTGGTGGGGTCCCCTTACCGCTTTAAGTGGGCGAGGAGAAAGTGAGTTGATTTATGTTGAGAGAGGGAGGGGGGAGAGAGAGATATTGTGTGTGTGTGTGTGTGTTATACTTACCATTATACCATATTAAGAATATAAATCTATCAGAATAGGCTGCATGTCAATAGATTGTTCTGATAGGATATGTACTCCTAACTCGTGCTCAGTGTATACTGGAACATAATGGACTGTTAGAATTTATACTCCCAAATTGGATCCTAATCATACTCTCTTTAAAAGAGTGAGTTGTGAAAAAACTTTCTAATGACTATATTACCTCTATTCTCTTTTGATATTACATTCTAATACTAACTAAACTAAATTAATTATTATTGTTAATTAATTACATTATATGTCACTTTAAGTTTGCATAATTTGGTCCTTAGAACTTCCAACGTTATTATAAAACTCTACATCATACTAATTATTAGTAATGTATAATAATATATTAATAGATAATTACATGTTAATAAAGTATTTATGGAAAGAATAGAAAACATAGAATTATCCTAAAATTATACCATGAAACTCATATAAGAAAAATACAAAGAGTATTCTTATGTTTAGGTAATAAGACAGAAGATACAAATATTAAATTTTAGAAAATATTAGGATATTTAAGCGCATCAAGATACATTATCTAAAACTTTAAAAAAATACAGCAATATACAAGTGGAGGTATATAAGTATAATTTCGGTAAACTACAAGGTATTTAAGTTCAATTAAGCATAGAAAATATTTGAAACCTTTGTTATCTATAAACAATAGTTTATGATCCCATTGATAAATAATATTCATCATACAATATGAGGCTAGATGCTTAGCTTAAATTTATATAGTAGAGCAGATGTAGAAAAATTAAAACATCATATTTTGAATGAGTCTCAAGATTTTAAATTATTTCCTGAAATTATACTTCGCTTAGAAAACTTTAGAATAGGCTTTTGAAGAACTACTACAAAGTGTTAGACATCAAATAAATATTGAAATACTAAATTCCATGATATCGGGTAGCAAAAATCAGGGATATATATGTATTATTGGGTCTCATATGAGTAAATATCCATACATAACATGATATTATAATATGTAATCTAACATATTAATGAATTTTAAACATAAGAATTTGCATCAAGATATATGTTTAAGAGTTGGAAGAGCCTAGAGTGGAGAGATTTGGAAGAAGAATTGTGGCTTTTGTGGGTTTTGCAAGTTTCAATTTTATTTCCCAAACACGGTCCAAACCCCAACCCACAATCAAACTAAAAAATAACATGGTTTTCTCGATATCTTCAAAGGGATATATCAGCCATATTTTTTATAATGGTCGATTTATCAAAAAATCAACAAACAAAAAAAAATAATATAAAATATTACCAAGATAAAGTTTTTAACCTGATATATTGGTCGATATAACAATATATTGGTCGATATTTCATAGAATGTCTATAAGAGCAAATATGCAAATGTTATTTAGATATTAGTTCCTTGATTTTAAATATCCACTGATTCTATGTTATTCTCACAAAATTTTAAAATTGCTCATAATTTTAGGAACTAATATTAAATTATTAAAATTTTGAGGGACAAATTATAAATAAGACATATTTAAAAGAAGTGTTAATTTTTAAAAACCCTCTCAACTATGGGGATTGTCTTAAAAAACTCACTCAACTGATTCAATTTGACAAAACCCCCTCATTATGTGAGGTATTATAGATAGCCCTCTTAATTTTGGTACTATTTTAGAAAACATCTCTCAACTATAACATATCTCATAAAAACTCCTTGTAGGCAATAAAAATTGCCTTTAATCTCTATCAGAGAAGTTCAGAATAAGACTGCTAAAACCTTACCCGAAAGGGTAAGAAAAGGGAAAACGCTAATGTCTCTTAAACCATAAGGAATTTGGCGAAGCGGATGTAGCAAACCCCCTTCGGAGGTTTGATTGGCCCTGTCTCGTCGAGATAGGTGATTTTCATATATAATTCGTCCAATTCTGAATTACGGTTTGAAAGTTATGATATGTTCTTCGTAGCATGTTCTGGAGCTCGTCTGAAGAGCAACCCCGCCTACAAAGGAGTTTAGCTCGCCTAGAGACTTCAAGCTTTAAGCTTGCCTGAATGAGGCTGGCTCCTGTAGAGATCGCCTGACAGCTTAAAGCTCGCCTGCATGATCCAGGCTCGCCTGAAGGTAAGCTCGCCTGACAGCTTGAAGCTCGCCTGCATGATCCAACCTCGCCTGCACAAGCTCGCTCACCTGCACAGCCTTGCCTAAGGTCAAGCTTGCCTGCACAGCCTTCCCAGCTCGCCTAGCCTGTCAGCCGCCCACTTGAAGCATGGGAGCAGTCAAATCCCTTGAATTAAGGGATTAGTTATCCTCATGACTGTACCCAGCATGGGAATAGTTATTTCTCACGATTTAAGGGATTTGGTCATGATTCTCCTCATGACCATACTCAGTATGTGAATGGTCACTTTCCATGATTTAAGGGAGTGATTACACTCTCCTTCTTCTCTATAAAAGGCCATGAGCAGCCATAGAGAAGGGGTATTAGGACCCGACCTCTTTGAGGACGAATTACAGAGAACTCAAGACCATCTTGGACTCGAGATCAGCCTTGTTCCAGGCACACCGTCGGCGGAGTCTTGGTCTTTGGAGATCGGACTTCTTGTCATTCAAGAAGACCGAATTCTTAGCATCTTCATCCTACAAGCACAAGCACTTGATTCGCCTCGGTTGATCGAACTCATCCAATCAAGCTTCTACTGTGTACTGAAGCTTCAATCACTTGTTTGGCCTTTGTTGATCGAACTCATCCAATCAAGCTTCTACTGTATACTGAAGCTTGCCCATAACTCTGTTCGAATAGTCCAAGGGAATCAAACCCAGTTCTGACACTGAGGGAGGCATCCTATCGCTATCAAAGACCTCATGTTAAACAAGGAGGTCTTTCCCTCCGTTTTTGTTTTTAACTTTGATTCATTAGTTTGTAATAAGTTGTTCTTATCAATACAAACGAAGTTTCCATTCCGGGAAATCAAATTTTACACCAACAGAAGAAATTTTACACTTTGATTTAGTTGAAGAAACATTTTCTCCCACTGTGGTCGCCATCTTTTGTTGGTGTAAAATTTGATTTCCCAAAATGGGGACTTCGTTTGTATTGATAAGAACAGGTTATTACAAACTAATGAATCAAAGTTACAACAGAAGCGGAGGGAAAGCCCTTATTGTTTAACATAGGGTCTTTGGTAGCGATAGGATGCCTCTCTGAGTGTTGGAACCGAGTTTGCTTCCCTTGGACTATTCGAACGGAGTTACGAGCAAGC